GGGGCGAGGGAGGGAGGGATGGAGGGAAGGAGGGAGGGCGAGCGCTGGCAGCTGCCTCCTCCTCCTTTGCAGCCTGAGCCCGGACTGTTTCTCTCTGCTGCTTTCCTCCTTCACAGCTCCCTCTGCCTGTCTCCCCACGAACACCGCGGGCCCTCCACCGGGCCTTGCTGCCATGCGGCAGCCCGCCGGCCTCATCCTGCATCTCCCCTGCCCCACCATCCCACCCTGCCCCTGGCACAGGGTCCGGGCTGGGATCACCCCAGAGCATCCCCCCCCCAGCCAGGGTGGGCAGCCAGCGTGGGGTGTGTGGTCGAGTCTGGGCACCTGCATTGCTCCTTCCCCCATCCTGGGCTGGAGCCGCCGTTGCAAGGACCCTGACTTGGTCCTGATCCAGTCCCTGAGCACCCTGGCTTGGGCTCCAGCTGGTCCCCAAGCACCCTGGCTTGGTGCCTGGCTTGGTCCTGATCTGGTCCCTGATCATCCTGGCTTGGTGCCTGGTTTGGCCTGGATCTGGTCCCTGATCACCTCGGCTTAATCCCTGGCTCGGTGCTGATTGAGTCCCCAGGCACCCTGGCTTAATCCCTGGCTTGGTCCTGATCCAGTCCCCAGGCACCCTGGCTTGGTCCGTGGCTTGGGCCTGATCCTGTCCCCGAGCACCCTGGCTTGGTGCCTGGCTTGGTCCTGATCTGGTCCCTCATCACCCTGGCTTGGTCCCTGGCTTGGTCCTGACCCAGTCTCCAGGCACCCTGGCTTGGTCCGTGGCTTAGTCCTGAGCTGGTCCCTGATCACCCCAGCTTAATCCCTGGCTTGGTCCTGATCCGGTCCCTGATCACCCTGGCTTAATCCCTGGCTTGGTCCTGATCCGGTCCCTGATCACCCTGGCCTGGTCCCTGGCTTGGTCCTGATCCGGTCCCTAATCACCCGGCTTAATCCCTGGCGTGGTCCTGGCCCAGTCCCCGAGCATCCTGGCTTGGTCCTGATCCGGTCCCTGATCACCCTGGCTTAATCCCTGGCTTGGTCCTGATCCGGTCCCTGATCACCCTGGCTTAATCCCTGGCTTGGTCCTGATCCGGTCCCTGATCACCCGGCTTGATCCCTGGCATGGTCCTGATCCGGTCCCCGAGCACCCTGGCTTGGTCCCCAGCGCCGCAGGCACCCAGCACTGCCGTGTTTTCTCGTCTCTGACGTGGACATGGGGGGAGACAGCAGCGCTGGCACCAGGATGCTGCTGGCCTGGGGGTGAACGCTTGGTCCCATCACCGAGTAAACCCCAGATTTCAGGGTGCAAACGCTCCTCCTCTCCTAAAAACACAAGCACGCCTGCTCAGTCCCACCCCACTGCAGAAACAGCTGCACCCAGCTGCCGTGGTGGGTGCCCTCCTCCCTCGGCAGCGCCGGCCGGGGGAGCAGAGGGCGAAGGCTTGAGCCCGGGTGCCTTCGCAGAGCTTCCAGACTCAGCATCAATAACAGATGCACTTTCGGAGGGGTATTAATAAAGGCCTCATGCATCACGCATGGCCAGCGGCGCGGGGCAAAGCAGGGCTGTTTACTGCCCGGCGAGAGCTGACGTTCCGCGGAGCGGTGCCCAAAAGATGCTTCCTCCTGCAGGAAACCTGGGTGCTGAGGTCCCTCCTAAGAATATCTGGGGTGTCCCCCAAGAGAAAGGGTTTTTCCTGGTGCCTGGGGTCGTCTGCATCCCATGGAGTGGTCCTCGCTCGGGATCAGGCTCTCACACATGTGGGATGGTTCAGCTGCCGAGGCCGGCAGTGCTTGGGGCGAGTGGGTGCCCACCCGAGGGGCACGCGCACCCGTGGGTGCCATCAGAGGGGTGAGCTCTTAGGGACAGGTCCGAGGGGATATTTAGGATTTCCCACTCAACCAGGTTTCCTTCTGGCCCCTTCCCTCATCCCACCCCTGCTAGCAGCCTTCAGGGACCCCGCGTCCCCTGCCCATCTTCCCACCCCATCTCCACGGGGTCCTCCCACCCCATGGCAAGCTTGGTGCGGGGCAGTGGATTTTGCCGGGATCATGGTATAACTGGGATTTAGCCCCAGGATGCTCCAGCTGAAATGTCGGCAAAGGGCTGGGGAACATGAGGGGACCTGGGGAAGGAGACATCCCTCCTCCATAACACAGCTGGGGCACAGATTCCCCCTCTCCGGCGCTGGTGGAGGGGACAGAATCTGTGGGAGAAAGCAGATTTGCAGCCATGCTTCCCTGCCTCAGTTTCCCCCTCCGCAAGAAGAGGCCAATAATCCCCAAAACACCTCAGCACTGACGATGAGCGCCGAGCCCCGAGCCAGGGACACGCGGCCCCGTCCCCGCTGCCCAGCTCCCTCCGTTCCCACAGGCACCTTCTCCTCCCCATTAATTAAACCCAAAGGCCGGCATGCCCCATCCGAGCGAGCATCTCCTGTTAGAAGGACGAGATTTTGAGGATATATGGGTTTGGCTGATTTTTAACTGCTGGAGGAGGGAGGATCTGCTATCAGCAGCACCTTCCAGGCTGCAAAATCTCCTCTTGAGCCATCCGGCTGCTGGCTGGTCCCAGGAGAAGGGAAATGGCATCTTTCGGTCGTCTAAAAAAGCCGAAAGGGAGGGAGCAAGCAGCCCCCACTGCTCTGGATCCAAGTAGGGCAGATCCCTCCAGGGCTCGGCCCCGTCAGAATAAACCCAGAGCCACATCCCCCCCAAACCCACCCATGGGGAGTGGGAATCCTTTCCCCGTTCCGTCCCAGGACAAGACCCTTCTCCCGGGATTAGCCGCCCACCCTGGGGATTTGGGGATGTTCGGGAGGAGGGTGGCCAACCCACCTGCTGCACTGATTGATTTTTCGCTCCCCGCTAATTATTTAAGCACCTTTTTCCCCGTAGGCAGCAGCTAGAGGTCAAAAACGTGACAGAAATACCACCGGCGTCGGCTGCTATATGGGATTGAAAGGCAGAAAGCAACCCCAGCAAGGTCTTTGATTAGCTCAAATCTTTAATTAGAAAAATAGACACAATTTTCTAATATTTCTGATTTTCTTTTTAAACAAACAGGAAAATAATAATAATAATAGTGACATCACCTTCTCAAAGGGCCCGTTACGCACCAGTTGCCGGAGCCCGGCGGCATCTCTCTCCTTTGGGAGAAAGGACCGGTGCAGCCGCAGCCCCCGACCGTGCCGGCTGGGAAATAACCGGTCAGGAGCTCCCCATAAAGTGCCGGCAGGGGCAGGTCGCTGCAAACACAGGATGTCCGTGGGTTTGGGTATATAAAAAAACCAAAACCCCCATCTCGGTGGGGATTTCTTTTCTGTACATGGTTTTTTGTTGTTTTTTTTTCCCCCTCGTTGGAACGGGAGCTATAAAAATGACTCAATCCCTGCAGTTTGGAGATGGCTCCGGGTGGCCGGAGCTGCCACATCCCTCCTCCGCAGCCCGGTGGTCCAGCGATGTCCGTGGGTTTGGGTATATAAAAAAACCAAAACCCCCATCTCGGTGGGGATTTCTTTTCTGTACATGGTTTTTTGTTGTTTTTTTTTCCCCCTCGTTGGAACGGGAGCTATAAAAATGACTCAATCCCTGCAGTTTGGAGATGGCTCCGGGTGGCCGGAGCTGCCACATCCCTCCTCCGCAGCCCGGTGGTCCAGCGCCGCGGCATCGCCTCCGCCTCCCGCGTGCCCCTCTCCTCCCTGGCACGGCCCGATCTGCCGTCATCGTCTCCGGGGCCACCCCAGGAGGATATTCCCACCCCGGCTCTCCCGCGAGATGCTCGGGGGACCTCGGGAAACGCCGTCTCCCAGCGCTCCGGTTGGGGCTTCACAG